AAGAGGTAAATGATAAGGTGCATAACATTAGGAATAGTTCAGGCTATGTAACCACCATGAAATAGCAAGGAAATTAAGAAATAGATTAATAAGAATCAGGGTTTGCACAAAAAACAGCAACACAAGAGGTAAATGATAAGGTGCATAACATTAGGAATAGTTCAGGCTATGAAACCACCATGAAATAGCAAGGAAATAAAGAAATAGATTAATAAGAATCAGGGTTTGCACAAATAACAACAAAACAAGAGTATACCAGCCCAAGCAGAGGAAGTAAATGATCAAATACAGTTTGTACACATTTGGAATAGCTCAATGACGGGTGTGGCGCCAGGCAGGGTATGCTTACTCATCTAGACACCTGATGTCACTTTCCATTATGATTGATATACTTCCTTATGTGGAAAGTTCATTAACTGCTACCAATTTTTTGCTAATATTTTGTTTTGGATTTTGAATGTCATTTTTCAGTTTAGATCTTTAGTACATGGTTTATTTATTTAAGCATATAAGTTACCACAATGAAATAGCGAGGAAATGAAGAAATAAAAAGCTACGTACCATTTAGGATCGTTCATGCCTAATTGATGTATAATATCTTTACGAACTCGAGGTGTGGCAGTAGCGGTTAGCGCCATCATTGGAACAGACGGATATTTCTTCCGCAATAAATTTAATTTCTTATAATCAGGACGGAAATCGTGGCCCCACTGAAAAAATATTGTTCATTAAAAATTTTTTGAATTGGGAACGTTTCCTGGATAAGTCCTCATTCTATTACACCCAGCTTAAAATGAGTAGATGGAAATAACACTTTCTTCAGGTCAGGTACCAACCAACCAAAAATTGGTCGACTTTGCTGTTAGTGGGTAGGGAAAATCTCGGCCAAGTACCAGCTGGTAACAGGATATTTGAGAATCCAAGTGATTAGGGATAACAAATCAATGGTGTGGGTGGGGGAGGGGGTTAAGGGGAGTAAGGGGTTAAGAGGGCTCATATAGTAAACTCAAGTAAACAGTAAGTACCAACTTCAATTTATACTATAAACATTTAAAGTTGGGTTCCCTTATTTTCCATCAAGTCTTTAATTAACTCTTAGCTTATTACCAAGGGAATGCTGACGAATTTAACAGCATTATAGAACGATCAATTTGTCTTTTTTCTATTATCCAGTCTGTACAGTCAAATTTTCAGAATTAAAGACAAAAAGATAGTTTACCTGACTAACACAATGAGCCTCATCAATAACAAATCTATCTAAAACTTTACGATTATACAGATGTTGAAAACAGCTCAATAACTTATCACTGGCTACAATCTATAATAGGACAAAATATAAATAAATTAAACTAACACACAAAGCATGTAATATGCCAATGAAACAGCTCTAGAGGCTTGTTATCAGATACATCGTAACATTAAGTGATTGTAGAGATGTTTTATAATTTTTCTGCGTATATCAGGAACACTGATAGCATCAATTTACATCATTCCTATTTTCAATCAGATGTCTGTGGTTCTTGTTAAAGAGATTGTAAAGATGTTTTATAATTTTTCTGCGTATATCAGGAACACTGATAGCATCAATTTACATCATTCTAATTTTCAATCAGTGGTTTTTGCAATTTAACTATAACTATGTCTACACTTATCAATGACCCCCAATACTGAGTAGTAGTTTAGAAAAGGCAATTGTAATTTACAATACTAAGCATCCTGATCGAAGCAATAATTTGGTTTACCTTTTCTGGAGTGACGTATAATAACTGTACGCCTGGTTCTCGTTGATATAACAGATTATAAATCTGACTAGATCGAGTCAAATCAACATCACCAGATAGACTTGCTGCTCTGATCTAGAAATCATAGAAAAAACATTCCACTAAGCTGAAGGGTACGATATAAAAAAGAGCCACTGTGACCAATTTGTTTTAAGCAGTGGCAGCACCAGCCCTGAACTTGGGGTACAAATAGGGGGCTGACTTTTGGTTGAAAATGTATAAAAATCATATTTTGACATTTGTAGAATAGGTCTTAGGTGTGAGCCTTTACCTCAAAGATATTCATCATCCAAATACCCTTCCATGGTCACAAAAGCTTTAAAGCCATCACATTTGAATGTCAGATTTGGAGTGTCTCTTGCCCTCTCCCATCCATACCCTCATACCCCAACTACATGTACTAACATCAAGAAACCTTTAGTTAATATTTCTGGTAGTTGAGACTTTTACCTCACCCCCTACAGTCTAGAGCCCCACCCCACCCCTAGTACTTACATCAAGAGAACAGAGTTTTTGAACTTGATCCTGAATGAGAGCTCGTAATGGTGATATTACTATAGAAACACCTTTAGTTACTAGGGCTGGTAGTTGATAACACAGACTTTTACCTCCACCTAAAATATCATCAAAATTAAATAGTGTTTTACCTTTTAATTTTCTGATTCAAAATGGATTGCGCTGTGTGAAATTTTGAATCAATGAAAAGTTTGTGGATTACAGAACAAGAATTGCATTTCGTTGAAGAGACGCAATTCTGACTCGTGCAAAAAATTTGAAGTATGGAAATATCAAAACTACAGCACTTACACAAATGCCAAAACTGCATTTTTGACTTCAATGAGATACATATATTTTGTGACGGGCTGTCTTTTAGAATCAGGAAGTTATGTTTAAAATGTGCATAGAATGAGAATAATGGTATCAAAGTTTCATTTTGTTTTTAGGGAAGGTCTAACGTCTGTAACAAAGACTTTTCATTTGTCCAATTAAGATTCCTTACAACTGGCTGCTTTTTTGAGAATTTAGATTGAGGATTTCCATACTTCAATACACAAATTTGGGGGTAAAGAGACATATGATTCCATTTTAAGATTTAATTTAACAGATACATACCTGTAGGCATCAGTATAAAAGTATCTTTCCCTAATAAGGCAGCATTCATAGCTTGTAACTGATTACGTCGAAAATCTTTTAAACCAAAAACTTGACGGAAAACACAGTACATATCTCGACTGTGAGGAAAATTCTGGCCGTCAAATTCTGCCCCATCGTCTTTATCAGAAGCAGCAAATGATGTATTATAATCTAAAAAGATTGATAAAAAATACAGAATAAAGGTTTGTATGCTGTCTTTTGTGCAACTGGGGAAGAATCTTTATAAAGATTTAAGCATACTCTTCATCTGCAAAGAATAATAATACTATATTTCCTAAAAATTCAGCTTTTTATCTTTTTCGTAAGAACTGTTACATAGTTCAGTCTCTTAAGTCTTGGATTCCAACATTGTGGACCCATGAAAACCATGTTTTTTTTCTGGTACCCACTCATCCACAAATGGAGAGGGACAAATGATTTAGATACCTTCTGATATTTATGTAACACAGGTTTTGAATTCTTTTTATTTAAGAAACATTAATGAGTCCTTTCTTACCATTACTAAAGTCAACCTGTCCTAAGGCTGGACGACTGGAGCTAGAACTAGACGTATTTCTAGAATTATTCAAAACTGAAGTTGCTGAAAAAATTGAATAATAAATATTAAACCTATAAAAGATCACATGACAGAAAAAAATTGTACAAATCTAAATCTATGGTATGGAAATCCTTAAGTAGCTGCATGACTCTAGCCAGACCCTGCCCTTCCAACTATAATGAAAACTTGATAATATTTCTTTTTTAAAAAGGAAATAATACCCTACCAAGTAATGAAAAAGTCTTGCTGGAGGAAGCAGGAGGTGTTATAGAACCAGTTGGTTGGGTTGAGGCTTCATTTTGAATTTCATCTTCCAGGTCTAAATATCCCTCGATATCATAATACTCGTCAGGCATGTCAGCATCGAAGTCATCCATGACCGGCTGAGGCGTTTTTTGAACATTTGAGACACTTGAGCGTCCCGTGTCTTTTGAAATACTATAATCAAACTGGAAATCTTGAACCACATTTGACGTATCGTTCATCGAAGGTGAAAAAGTCAAAGTGTCATCATTGGTGGAACTGAACATTGAGGTAGTCATATTAGAGTTACTGTTCTTGAATGCATTAGCACTAGCAGACGCTCTCAAAATTGAAGGAGAATTATTATTGAATAAGTTTGCAGACGGACAAACTAAGGAATTCCTCGTACTTGGTGACATGGTAGTGTTTGGACTTCTGCCAACAGATAAGCTTGGACTTGACGCAACACTGGAAGGTTTTTTGAAGCTTTTCATGTACAACATTTGTGTGTTTCCGAGTTCAACATCGTCATCAAAAAAACTCTCCCCACATGGAATAGGCGATTCGGTTACTGAGTTGATTTTAGTCACTGGGGTCTTTTTTACTGCTGTACTAGTCACTGGAGCCTTACATGCCAAAATAGTATCAGAGAGTCTCCTAGAAAGGTTTCCACTTGTATTTTTTGGCGTATTTAGCACTGGAGAAAATGGTTCATCAAAATTCTGTAAAGAAGTTCTCGATAACACTGATCTGTTGGTATTTAATGATCCAGATTTTAATTTGGGAACAACTGGTTCTGCTAAATTCTTTCCTTTGTCTTTGGCTTGTTTTCTGCAAAATAAACAAAAAAGTGACCCAGGATAGCCTGACAGGATGGCCCCACCCATGCCTTGTACATGATATACTGCTGGGATAGCGGCATGTTTAGAGCCAGCTTAAAATGTCATGACAAGAGCCAAATTTTGCATAAATTTTGCTAGCTATAAGCTGGACAAGTAATGAGTTCATAAACACATCAAACAGTGGCACGATACACGTAGACCTTCTTCGTACAACTCTATAAGTTAAGCCTACCTCTCGACTGTATTTCTATAAAAGTATTTAATTATCATAAATTCTAAACGATAGGTCACCTTAAATATAATAATTTTTGAGTTTACCCCTTGATTGTATTTCTATAAAATTAAAATGTACATTAAAATGTTGAAAATAATAATTTCTAAAAAAGTAAAATGACTCTTGTAAAAACAATAGTTCACCTTAAATATAATAATTTTTGAAGTCTGTCATAATCATCACAAGCTGCCGACATCAGATCATCCGTTCTAAATTTACCCACAATATCACAAATTTCATCTGTTATGTTTAATAATACATCTCGTAACACAAATACACTCTCTTCTTTAATCTGAAATAGAGATTGCATGGAGTTTTACACCCTAATATAATAATAATAATGTTTATTTGCAGCTTTAATGTAGAGTCCATATAGCTAATATTGTTCATGTCAACTGGACATGCCTTTCAGAGAGTCCACATTGCTAATAAGTTTTATATAGTGTTTAGCATTGTCATATCTACTTATTAGGAATTAATCATATTGTCAACTTGGCATCCTTAGCTTATAAGGTTTATTTGTTATTTGGGTTAGTTAACTTGGAATCCTTTTCAGTCCTTAGCTAATACTGTTGGTATGCTATTTAACTTGTCAACTTAATATCCCTTGCTACATAGCCAATAATATTAATTTGGTATGTACGTTCGTTATCTCTGCATTATATAGCAAATATTGTTCTTGGGTATTAGGTTTTGTCCAGAATTAATTTATTTCAGAGAGTCACTGATCTTATGTTTATTATGTATATACCTTTTACAACCCAGCATCAATTTAAGAGAGTCTACATTTGATTTAATATTTGGTCTTGTCAAACATTCCTTTTAGAGGGTCCACATAGCTGATAACTAAATAATTCTAGTTTTAAATTCGTCAAACCTGATTGGTTGGTAGTTTTAAAACTGGATGTTTAGAAATATCGGCCAATGGTATATCTTCTACTGTATTAGTCTCTTCACGATTAAACGATGTCACCGACATACTCGGTGTGATCTTAGTAGCTGTGTTCTGATTGGTTGAGACAGAAATAACCTGTACCGCACTATCATTAGTGTCTTCATCACTGTCTATCAAAGTCTTGTGTCGTCTGCGTTTCGGTTTTGGCAATTCTTCTTCTGTATCACTATCAGACTGAGGACAAAAACCAAAAAAAAAAAGGAATGGTGAGTGAAGATGACTTATTTATGACAGTAACTAAATGTATCATTTAGAAAAAGATTTTACCATTTCATGTTTGGAAGGAGTGTCGGGAACAGAATCAACTTCCACATTTTGAATTAATTCTTCAAATTCTCTATCATCATCATCGTCCAGATCCATAGGTGGGCTAACTGGACGAGGAGCCACGATCGCATTCTTTATCTATAATAGTTAAAAAATACTTTGTATCATCATTTCATGTGTGGACTATGAGAGGATCAAATTTATCAAGATCCATATGAAGGTTATTCGATGATGAGACTTGAGGGATTGTGTTACAGAATGTGGGAAATAAATAACTTATCAGGACTGAGACAAAACTCATAATAATATATCCATTTTCTGGTTCTTTTTGGTTGCCCCATGTCAGATTGAGAGTCAGTCTACTTCATCAAGGAGACTTTGAAACGAAGATAATCTGTAAGGGACAGTTGCGCCATCTTGTGAGGGTTGATTTGATTCTTGAATCTAAGGAACTAGATGAGTATATACCTACCTTGAATGTGTTTTTAGTAAATGGAAACGGTTTGAAACTCTGTGATTTGAAACCACCTGAAATCATGAAAAGAATTTGAATTTTTAAAAAAAATATTGCCTGTTAACATGCTTACTGCAAAATGGAAATTATGATTGGGAAAAGAAGATTCAATAAGCCAATCAGACTGCACACAATTTCATTACAAATCAATACATTTTGTATTGTTGTCGCTCTCTGAGGAAGGAGGTATATGTGTCATTTTAAGGTTAACACTCTCCATAAAGATATTTTGTGATACTTTTTGCTTCATTACTTCAACACTTTTATGACTATGATCCTGTCCTATCTCATGTGCTTTGGATTTCTCTTTCTTTTCCATGATACATAATATTATGATATTTAAATTTTCCAGACATACATATGAGAATAGAAGTAAATTATTGAGATGACGTGAGCCAGGAAACTTGTGTTATTAATTAGGTATTATTGAAGGGACTCTGAGTGAAGCACACACAAAAAAAAGAGCAGATGACACACCTGGGGCAGGAGTTGACTGAAAATCAAAATCACTATCATCATCATCACCATCATCATCATCCATGTTGACAAATATGTTAGGGTGAGACTTGGAAGGTGGGGGGTTCGGTTTACGCAGTGCAACATTGTTGTTGTTGGTGTTGAAAATTGAGGCTACATTGCTTCTCACTGGAGACCTGGAAATAGGAGGATTTTCACATCTTATTCTTCACTTTAAAAGGTCCAATGAACATGAGCAAAAGTGCTCAGAATCGACTTTTCAGCAAATTGGGGGACTCTAGAGAAGCACCAAGTCTGAAAAACCGGGTAACAACGATTTTCAAGACCCAAAAAATGGATTTTCTCTGTAAGAAATGGCCAAATAAGATGAGCTGTGTAATTTGGGAAAATCAGCATAAATTAGCCAAATCTTGTTTTGTTTCCCCTTTGGTTTAATCCCTAACGTGCACAGAGTTTCAAACACCAGAGTTAAAGTTTTCCAACTCATCTACACAAATGCCAATTTGACATTTTTCCATGTCAACGCCTCAGACCTGCATCACTGACAAGAGGGGAAACAGTTGATTGAAAATTGGAATCGAGCTTATCTCTTTAAAGATAAATATTACAAGCAGGTTTATCGCTTGACAAGAATAAAGATGTCCACAGATAAAAATAGTAAAATATATACCGTACCTTTGGGGTGGAACAGGCGGTACGGCTGCTACAGGTTTAGATTTATTAGTAAAAGCTGTTATACTGGTCTGTACTCCCAACTAGAATCAATTAGAAATCAATTATTGTTACATTTATAAAGCCTCCCCTTTTTCAATTTCAAACCGACGAGGGAATCTTTAACAGCCCTTTTGTCTAGTTTAATCCTATATGAATTTAATACTTACATTAGGAGAAGATTTAGAGGATGTTGGTTTAGTTATAAAAGTATTTAGAGATGAAAATGGAGGTGGTTTAGGGTTGGTTGTTGATCGTGATTTATTGGTTGATAAACTTGAAGATCTTTTGAAAGTAAAGCCCCTGAAAAAATAAGCACAATTTCACATGAATAAGGAAAAGGAAAAAACAGTCATGCCATTTCAAGGATATCAATTCAGGATTTCAAGGATTTTAAGGATTTCAAGGATTTCAAGGATAACAATTCAGCATTAAACATCTTGGCATAAATCTTCACAGATTATCCTCAGCTGGAATAATGAAGATTCTTATTCTGTACCTATTTACATTTGGCTGGGCCGACTGGTATATTGAGGAAGATGACTCATTCTAGACCACCAGAATTTTGTACAAGAATAAACCCTACTATAACCATTATCCCAAGTCAGATACATCTTTGGAGGTGTGGAAAATCCCCATAAGACAAAGCCTGATTAAAACTGTCAAAATATCTATCTAGAGGCAAATGTTTCGGACTATATACTTCCATGCTCATGGCATTAGAGCATGTCAGATATAAAGTTAAGATTTGAAAGACGCTGAGAGCACATATGACAAAAACACATTTACATTTGATGACGACATTTGTAAATTATGTTGAAAATTTATGTATTTTGTTATTAAAGAAGTATGTTATACCTAATATATTCCCTTGTGTTGGGTGTTATAGAAAGCACTGGCCAAGGTCGCAAAAAAAAAACATACTTCAATTATCAATTTGAGTAATAAAATCAAAATAAAATTTACTTTGCTGTATGCAAAGAGAAACTACAACACTGTAAATTCAGGAGAAATACTTGTGTTTTTTGTTAAGTTTTAAGTTTTGAAATTAGTATTTTGATTGTACCTACCCCTTGCTGACTTTTCCAGACCCGTCCATATTCTTAGATTCTCTTAACCTTCCGTTTCTTGAACTGCATGAGTCATGACTGCATTTTTAATTAAATTAACCAATCTATAAGAATATTTTCAAAAACAATTTATAATAACAATATTGATTACCACAATCTTCGACATACTTAACCCTTTGAACAAAGGGTCGTGACATCTGTAAGGTAATTTGATATTATGTTAGAATAACTAGTATGGAAAATCCCCATATAACAGGGCCTAGTTTTTCTGACTCTACTGCAGCTGATAACTGTCAAAATATTTAGCAGATTCAGAGAAGCTTGATAAAGGCAGATGTTTTGGACCACTTTGTCCAGTACTAGTATAGTACTATAAGTAGAAACGGTTCTGGAAAGGCAACTTAGTATGAAAATGTAGTTTCATATTAAGTTTTATAAACCTTGATTTTGAATTGAAAATGGAAGCTGAAAAAAAAGGGTGGGGTGGGGGGGATGCTGAGGATTCATAATCAAAGTGGGTGTCAGTCTGAATCACCCCAGAAGGCTAGAGCACTTGTAGATGATAATGAATATAACATTCCATCCATTTATGATACGCATAGAGTTGATATGTTTGCTAAAATAAAGTTAGTTCTTGTTTGTTTATAAAATTGATTACATTTACCGCCATATTTGTGAATATTCTGTAGAGAATTAAAAACGAAACGAAACAATTAAATAATTTGGATTAAAGATTAAAGAAGTTCATTTACACAACGTTACAATAATGAATAATAAAGAAACTTGGTCATAATTTGAATTTGCAACTAATTTTTGTGTATAAAAGCATTAGGAATAAATTTTACGAAACCATCGCGCATGCTCAGACTATCATAACATTAGTATTTCCTTTTCCGTTTAGCCATCATAGAAATCGGATAGAAGTGTCCATCACTTCCAAAAATCCAAGTAATCCTAATTAATTAATAATCTTAATTAATCCATCTCCCCAAAATCTTGTTATGGCAGCATTGTCATCTCCTATATTGAAGGGGTTTTAGCACGTAAAGTGCATGAAGGCTAGTTTTAAGGGTCTAATGAGTAGACACTGAAACATGTGAATGATCGTACAGTTAAAGTGGAATTCTGTCACTGATCAACTTGTTACCAGAGGTTCTACTTGATATCTTCGGCTCCAAATCTCACATAATTGCATTTTACTGAACCGACTTGTGATATTTCAAATTAATCTTAATCTCAAAATGTCATTGTAGCATTAAATGTCTTGTAGCAGACATATCTTAAAAGTAAAGAAGCAAATTTACAGTTCTTTATCATTTATATTTCAGATCACAATGGCAATCAAATATGATATGGCCGTTGGCATTAAAAAGGGCCACAAAGTTACAAAAATAGAAAACCCAAAAAAGAATAAAGCCAATCGTATGAAAGGAGTAAGTTGATATGTTCTGAAAATTGGATAGTGAGTGTGACAATTAGTAGAATTGCAAGTGTAAAAATATTTTAATAGAATTTTACTTTCTGAAGCAACGATATCATATTACTGGCAAACTACTAGTCTGATTGGGCAATCCAGATTCCTTGAGTTGTGCTGAAAAAATGAAAAGGAATTCTTGGACTTTTTGTGGCTTAGGGCTTTAATGATTTGAGCATTGTATTGGTGATAAAGGTTGAAGACAAACTTCCAGATGCACTGGCCATGGCAGAATTATTTTACCTTGATGTTTCGAATCCATTACATTGTATCGTCTAGCAGACGACAATGAACATCTTTAAACCTTTATGTGGTGTCCGGTATATTAAAGCAGGAATCGATCAGTAATTTCACCGAATTAATTCAATCCTGATTTTCCTTTCAGCGAAACACGAAGAAAAATAAATTTGTGAGAGATTTAGTCCGAGAAATAGTAGGTTTATCGCCATATGAAAAAAGATGTCAAGAATTGTTGAGAGTAAGCAGAGAAAAGAGAGCCTTGAAATTCTGTAAAAAACGAGTAAGTTGACAATTCAAGGGGGTGGATTGGAGATAAATTCAGGCATTCTGAAGGATCCTAAAACTGTTCATTTTGTCTGAGACCTTGGATCAATATTCACATTTGACTACATGTCAGTTTCATTTAGGCTAGTCTTAAGATCCCAACTGAACTGACTATATTAAAGATAAAAGCTAAAGATTTGTCCAATATTAATTAGACTTGGCATTGCCGGCACTCATTAGCTCAAACCGGTGCAGAAAAGTAGGAGGTAAAACTTCTATTTAATTACAGATCATGACCAATATTGACCATGCTTACTCTTTTTAAAACACCTGATGGTACTTATGTATGGAGTCCACTGCTATACAACTTTTTCAACCGATTTATTTACACTTTGTACGAGATATTTGATTGACAGAAATGTCTTGCTTGTACAGATTTTTATGATCTAACCATTAACTTGCTATTTTCAGCTTGGTGCCCATACACGAGGTAAGAAGAAGAGAGAAGAGATGCAAGCCATTCTCAACGCCATCAGAAAGGCCGCCAAGGAACATGAACACGAAGAAGAGGCAGCTTAAATATCTTGTAAAATTAAAAAAAATTAAAAAACCAGTAGAATTTGTTTTGATATCACAGTCAGTCTGAGGCCACTGTGTTTCCAGGAGTTGGGCTCATGCTTGCAAGCCCCAGCAAAATTCAGGTGGTCCAGGGGTCTATCCATATTGAGAATATCAATTTAGTATGAACTTCAATACCTTGTCTGAGATAGTCCCCTTTCTTGTATCTCAGAAGACTGCAATTTCATTTGATTGACGCTTGTGAATACAAGATCTCGCACAATTTCAAATTAGAGCTATTTGAGAAGGGGTCATAAGATTATGTTTATCTTTATTTCCATGTTAATGTAGGGGAGTTCAAATCTGAGCACGATTGGACAAATCTTATCAAGTTACAGCCCTTGATATGGTGCTTATTTAATGAGTAAGTGGGCGTATTATGCCTTGCAACCGCTGTTAAAGTTGAGCGAAGATCCATCGTTGGAACAGTGCTCTGCTCTGTTGGCTATAGGACGATATTTGTGTTGCGATAATGTATTTGTGGTCCGATTGATTATTCATAAAAAGAGTTATTTCCCTTACACCATTGAATTTCCAATGGAATTTCGTTCTTTGCCCTAGGCACCAACTTATTACATTTATAGGTATGGAAATTATTTTACTGCAGGAGTATTTTGGTATTGTCTTTCTGTCGGGATTATTAAACCCGATCAGCTGATTATTGAGGTGGAAACCTGGGGTCAATTACTCCCTGGGGGTTAATATTGAAATTTTCGAAAGGAAAAGGCCTGGGAGAGGGTCGGGTGGATTGAAGGTTGCAGGGAACATCTAAGGGGGTGTAGGTCAATGCAATCGATCAATGGATCATGTAAAGGGTAATAGAAAGAAAAATGGAATAAAGTATGGTACTATTGATCAATGGAGGGAGGGAGGGAGGGAGAGAGGGGAGGAGTGGCCCCTCACAAAGGATCAACGTAGTTTTTCAGTGTAAATATTTTATGATATTGAAAGAATAGCAACTTTTTCTCCATGACCTCGCCTAGCAAAACATTTTAATAAAATTTGGCGGTGACCTCCTTAATCCAAAATTCTGCAGCCGCCACTAGTTTTGATCATATGATTTGGTAGCCCAATAGATCACGCTTGAGATTGAGGAAGCTGTTGTTGACAGGACAGTCGAACTGGTGAAGTCCTCGGGCCAGTCATCATCACAATGTCAAGCTATTTCAAACATCGTCTGTTATATGTACCAGACGAGGCAGAACATTGTTCTAATTAAAATTACATTACAATTTCGTCTAGATTAATATATTAGAAAACGAAATACTTTTGCCCCCGTCGATGAAATTTGTTGCCGGCGAAACTGCAGTAGCTCAACTAGATCAGTAGGGGCGGTGGATTTTAATGGGTTAGAGCCTCTCTCACGGAAATTTGTGGAAATATGTGTCTTAAAACGAAATCCAGGTGGCGACACCAGCATCCCGAGACCGGAGGTACAAACTGGGGACAAACTATTGAGGCTGAATTCAGAATGCGGTAACTCTGTGGACGAGTCATAGTCGCAAGCCTTTCATGGAGCGTCTGAGAGGGTTCTCCCAAGAAAACTTTCCAAAAATGAAATTGATTTAGTGCATATTATGGTTCAAAAACGTATAAAAAATTTTTAAAAATAACGTGGGGGTACAATTGACAATTGAATCAGATGAATCCGCAAGTTTCTGGTGGTACAGCTATGACCAACTCTAGCCAGAAATACTGGATAATTCAAAATCGAATTAAAACTTTAGCGAACCGACATACTATAAATTGGCGATCAGATTGTAGGTGTGGATCTAGTTTCAAATTAACTCTAGGCAGACTTGCCCAGATAATACAAGAGAGTCTATACCATCTGTGATTAGGTCAAGTTTCAGTTGATGGTCTAGACAGACTTGCAGGATAGTTCGGAAGTAAATTAAAACTGTTATAAACGATGTTTTAAACAGCTTGACCAGTAATATCATTTAATATCGTCTAAATAGATACCAATTGATCAGCTAGCGTCTGGAGGAGAGAACAGAATCTGTTGGTGTCACCCATCTTGTATCTGAGTATTGGTTATCTATATGTACACTTACGTACAGGGAACGTCGAGAGTTAGGGGGCATATATCTTGGATCAGTGATCGTCTGGTAGAGACAAGAGAATCTGTTGAGAACATGATGTCCATCTTGTATCTAGAAGTATTGGTTGTCTTTACAGATATACACATTTCTGTACACAGGACACGTAGGGAGTTTGAGGGTATATATACCCCTTACCTACCCCTATCTTGGATCAGTGATTGTCTGGTAGAGACGAGAATCTTCGGAAAACATGGTGTCCATCTTGTATCTATAAGTATAGGTTTGACGACGTTTATACACACTCTTAGGCACAGGGGTACTAGGAAGATAGACGTCATGTATTCCCACCTTTATCTTGGATCAGTGATTGTCTGGTAGAGACAAGAGAATCTGTTGAGAATATTTTTACCCCCTACGATCGTCAGTGACCTTTTGGGAAAGACAACAGAATATGCTTGAGAGCACGGTGTCCCCTTTCTTGTATCTGGGAATATTTGGTTGCCTCTGCTATCTTTCCAGGTCACGTATTCTCGAAACGATCTTAACGATTTGATATCTTATAGACACAATGTTAAAAGAAAAGACCCTAGGATATCCTAGCGCTAAGATCGTTTCGAGAATACGCGGCCAGAACATTATCCATTCAAACCAGAAGGACTGTGCATGTTAAAGATCCCCAAAACGATAAAGGAGTAGGCTGATGCACTTATTACATACTGCATGGCGTTGTCCATCTTGATTAGTGGATATCAATTGCAAAGAAAAAAAACTTCCATTTTTTTTTTTATATTTCGAACCAGAAGGAAGTTCCTTGACCCAGCTTCCACTCGACCTATTTCACTTGGAATCAGAGAAAGTCTATCAACAAGCCAGATAGATTCAATGTTTTCAGTTGATTAGCTGGGTCGAGGAAGAATTAGAGAGCGATTCAGACATTAATTGACCGTTTCATCAACTCGACCCACAAAATCATTTAATCTCTTTCAAATACTTTTAATCACAAGCGTACGGCTAGAGCTTCCGCCGGAAGTAGCTGAACGTCTGCTCTTTGATGGTTAATGACGTGTTCTTTCAGAAAACTCGATTCCATGGATACCGAGGTTTATTTCAAGTCAAAAGTTAAAATGGCGATTGAATCCATTCAGAATTCCGTAATGTTGATTGTAGTTTCTGAAAGCATTGGTAAATTGTTTTATGCAAACTAAGTGGAATTTGAAAGGGTTTTACTGTAATGGAGGTTTACATCCTACGTTCTACTCTGCAACAGACTGGACTAATGTTCTATATCCAACTGTTCTGTACCTTATTGAACTAATGAAATGATCATACTGTTCTGTATCTTATTGGTCTAATGAAATGAAATGTAGTTTTATATCTTACTGTTCTGTACCTTATTGAACTAATGAAATGAAATGGAGTTATATATCCCACTGTTCTGTATCTTATTTAACTAATGAAATGAAATGGAGTTATATATCCCACTGTTCTGTATCTTATTGGACTAATGAAATGAAATGGAGTTATATATCCCACTGTTCTGTATCTTATTGGACTAATGAATGAAATGTAGTTTTATATCCTACTGTTCTGTACCTTTTTGGACTAATGAAATGAAATGTAGTTTTATATCCTACTGTTCTGTATCTTATTGGACTAATGAAATGAAATGAAGTTTTATATCCTACTGTTCTGTACCTTACTGGACTAATGAAATGAAATGTAGTTTTATATCCTACTGTTCTGTACCTTATTGGACTAATGAAATGAAATGGAGTTTTATATCCTACTGTTCTGTATCTTATTGGACTAATGAAATGAAATGTAGTTTTATATCCTACTGTTCTGTACCTTATTGGACTAATGAAATGAAATAGAGTTTTATATCCTACTGTTCTGTATCTTATTGGACTAATGAAATGAAATGTAGTTTTATATCCTACTGTTCTGTACCTTATTAGACTAATGAAATGAAATAGAGTTTTATATCCTACTGTTCAGTATCTTATTAGACTAATGAAATGAAATAGAGTTTATATCCTACTGTTCTGTATCTTATTGGACTAATGAAATGAAATGGAGTTTTATATCCTACTGTTCTGTATCTTATTGAACTAATGAAGTGAAATAGAGTTTTATATCCTACTGTTCTGTATCTTATTGGACTAATGAAATGAAATGGAGTTTTATATCCTACTGTTCTGTATCTTATTGAACTAATGAAATGAAATAGAGTTTTATATCCTACTGTTCTGTATCTTATTGGACTAATGAAATGAAATAGAGTTTTATATCCTACTGTTCTGTATCTTATTGGACTAATGAAATGAACAATAACTTAATGGTCTTTTATAATATAATTTCATTCTACTATTCTACCCCAAAGTAGGGGTTTAAATTTTAGTTTATTAATGAGATGTTCTTTTCTACTTATATCATACGTTCATAATTTATCAATGGTTTTACCCTTCCATTATTCATTATTCAATTATATAATTTTCATATTCACATTGTGTCCCCTAGTGACAAATAAAGTTATATATTTATTGTTTTGTTATAAACTTTTTTCCCCGGCATGAAATCGATACAGGTTCTCTCACTGCGTTCATGTACCTACTTTTGGACATTGATACATAAATGTTTACACCTACGAGTCGGTAACAAAACATTCACCATCCCTCTAGCCCCACCCCTAGTTGGCACAGTGTGAAGGGGGTAATCATAAGAGAACAGCAATGTAACAGATTAAGCAGAAATACCAATTTTCGATTTACCCCAAGAGACAACTAATCTAATAAGATCTAATATCTAAGAATATTAATAACTTTTATTATGATAGCATAGCTGTAATTAACGGGTAATCAGAAAAAAATAATCTGTATGAAGTCTGACCAAGAACCAAGTGGTTGAAAGGATTCTTAAAGATGGGTTCCCTTATTTTTATTCATGAATATGA